CGCTATGGGTCGGAACCGACACGACGGCACTTAACAACAACAACAACAATATATATATATATACACATCCATCGGGAATCCTGGTGTGGCAATGCAGGATAATGCACGCAAGGTCGGTTTGGACCGCAAGGTCAGCAGTCCAAACTCACTAGCCACTCCTTGGGAACCCTGCACTTGTACATGAATTGTGTGCCATGGAGTAGGTTCTGACTCACAGAGACCCTGCATAGGGTAGGGTTTCTGAAACTTTAAATCTTCATGGGTGCAGGAAGCCTCATCTTTCTCCTGTGGAGTGGCTGGCGGGCTCCAACAGTGGATTTTGTGGTTCACAGTCCAGTGATTATCATGTGACGTCACAGGTAAATGAACTGACTCCATGGCACATAACCACCAGTACCCCCATCCATAAACTGCTTTTTTAAACCATTCTGTTTATTTTTAAAAACTGACTATCAATTTCTTAAATAACCAAGCACTTGAGCAACATATTATTCCAGTTAATTTTATAACACACATGTATGAATGTTTTCTGCTATGATAAGTTCAAATCAATATGTCAATATGATTTTTAAAATCCAGAAAATTTTTGAAAATCACTGAGTTTCCTTCTGTCATAATATAATTCTTTTTCCAGAGGCTACTGAATTAGGTCCAATTAATCTGGATTTCAATCTTCAACTCTATCAACTTAGGATAGAAAAGATAAAACTATTCTTCAGTATTAAATATGAAGATTTCCTTATTAGGGAAATTAATCTCTGCTGGATTTCTTTTCTTTTTTCTTTTCCTTCTCCTCACCCAGTTTTCAGTATTTTTGTCACCTATCTTTATAACAGAGTCCCAAGCTGGGAAAATTGGCGTTGATTTAAGGAATCACTATTAAAATAAATTGTGAACTAAATCTGTTCATCTTTTCTTCTGTTTTCAAAGACACATAATTCATGAATTTGTTCTAAAGCAATATTTATATGAATGCTTGCTTACATTTACAGTATAAGTGAATTGTTTTTTCTAGGGAAGAAAATGATTATATTTTCATAGGTTGCAAACTTGGCAAGTTGACAAGCTGTTTGATTATGTACTGGTTAATACAAGCAAGACCTTCAAACAGTGTAACCACCACCAAACTGAGCCTGGATCTCTGGCTTTTATACAAGATTTTCCTCTTCAGCGCTCTTGTCATCCTCTTCTGATCTCTCCACATCCTTTTCTCTCTTTTTCTAGAACTCTCTCCCTAACTTTTCTGTTTTCTGTCTTTTCCTTGCCTCTTTCCTTCTTCTCTGTATCTTTCTTCCCTTTCTTATTTTCATTTGCATTTAGCATTCTCCAATACTTGAGGAAAAGTGAAATGGGAAGGAACTTTTTTTTCCCCATTTAATGAATAATCTTTGAGTAACCTTTGGATTTCTGGACTTTGTGGATGAAGTTAAATTAACTTGAACAAAAAATGTATACAAAAGCGATAGAATGCTAACCTTATGATTCCTTCTTGCAGCAAACCTCTCTATGTCACTAGCTATTTTGTTTCTGGAGATGTACACACATGTACATGCCCACATACACTATATGAGTGACTGTATGTACTATATGCATTTTCTGATACTCAATGTAATTTTGATGTTGGCAATTGTTATATCACTAAGTATCTTCGCCACATATACTTTTTTACTACATTACATCACAGGTATGTTGTTGTTGCTGTTAAGTGCTGTGGAGTTGGTTCCAACTCCTATCGACCCTGTATAGGGTTTCTGAGGCTGTAACTCTCCATCGAAGCAGAAGGCCTCATCATTCATGTGTATATATGCATTGTTTCCCAGCATCTCATTTTCATGATTTATTTTAATTGTGCATCTGAAAGCATTTCATTCATAGCATTACAACACTGATGAGGAGATGAGCTATGAAGTATGGAGAACATTGTTGCATGATTGGTGCTTTGTAACTGTCCCCAAGTATCTCAGCATACTACTTAAGAGCTGTATGGAGAAGTGGAATATAAAACATAAATCTGATGGAATCCGATGCTTCCAGAAAGCCAGTGTCTAAGTGCTGTGGTGCTTTAATATTATTATTAGTCATCTTACATGGCAGATATTACAAAAATATATATTAGCCATCATTGCTGATGAATGAATGAAAGCTGAACGATAGATGCAAAGTAGATTAACAGGTAGGCACACCGTGATGACCACCCTTTGGCCTTCTCTCTCTGTGCAAGGTGCCTGTGTCGGTGGCCATGATGACTCCCCAGGTGATCACCCCTCAGCAAATGCAGCAGATTCTTCAGCAGCAAGTCCTGTCTCCTCAGCAGCTGCAAGCCCTCCTCCAGCAGCAGCAGGCAGTGATGCTGCAGCAGGTAATGTGGGTCAGCTGCTTTGGTGTGCTAACCTGCCTCAGAAGGTTTACACCTATGTAACCAGTACCCTGAGCAACATACAGATGTGAAAGGGACAATCTCTCAGCAAGCTGTGACACATTTTCATTGCAGAGTTGCCTG